AAGGTAGACGATGGGTATATGGATGTGGGAGRAGGTAAACGATGGGTATATGGATGTGGGGGAAGTTAAAATGATTTATTGAATGAAACAGACATTTTTTGCAATATTTTATTTTTTCTTTCATTTATTCAGGTAAGGTATAAGTTTTCTTGATAATCTCTAAACCCATTTTTCTTATTTTACACCCACTGTACTATTATTGACAAGTTGCTTGTTTGGCCATTATTATTCAATACATCCATCCATTTCATTGAATTCCTGGTGCATTTTGTCTTTATTTTATTCTTCTTCTGATATTGATCAGCATAGTTATATGTATTTTATCCCTAAGATAGTATTAATGAAATGTTGACATGTTGTTGATACTAAAATTTATGATCATAAATGATTGTTACAGTGGTGATGAAATAATCTCTCTTTTTCATTGTAAAATTGTAGCCGGTAAAAGTGAAGCTTGAAGATGACCAGGAAGTGGCTCTGGTGTTCCTGGACACTGAAGGTAACCTTTCATTCATTGAATCTTGAACTTACACTGGAAAGATTTGTTTTCATGAGATTATCACTGTCTTCTTTCTTAAATGATAAACCTTTCCTAAATGTGCCCAACAAGATCATAAAACAAAAGTTGTAAGTCAAGGTTGGAAACTGTTTTGTATTGTATTCAAAAAAGTACTTTAAAGTTGAACTACGCCAATGTCTTTTTAAGAGCAAGAAGGTTACTCTGGAAACATGAATTTATCAAAACTCAATGAAACTAAGTAATTCGTAACAAACACTTTCTTTTTTTCTTTCTTCTTCTTATATACATATAATTTTTTTTCTACTCAACAAAATAGATATGGAAATAAATAAGTCAAAAAAGTCTAATATGTCAAATCAATATATTTAATATTTAAATAATGTTTTTAATGTAATATATAACCTACCTGCCTAGACTAGCTATATGCTATTTGAAGGTATATATTAATATGAAATTGTAAAATTATAATTGAATAAACTGAACTGAATTGCACTCCATCCTCAATTGCAAACAATTGTTTCAGAACCACCTGTGTAATCTATGTGAAAGTACATTTGTTTGTTGCATGCTTTAGGCTTTGCTGCTACTAATGTATCAGAAACCTATGATGCCAAAGTGTTTGCTGTTGCAACTCTTCTCAGCTCGTATCTTATTTACAACTCAGTCAAGGTAAATTTGCACCTCGCCCATTCTTTTGAATGGAAAAATATCAGAAATTCTGTATTCAGGGTAGTATTGCAGGTGAAAAGTTTTGCTCTATCTTCACCCTCCCCTTACTTCACGTTTTACCCGTAAAAGAAACGCTTTAATAACATTATCATGCGACAACGCCCTAATTATCTGCATGTCTAGCTGGGCTACGTAGCTTGATTACGTCATATTGCTCATGCCAACTTGGCCAATCGGAATACTCTTAACGCATATCAAACTTGAGGTTGTTTATACTTATAGATCATCGATCAGGCCGACATAGACTACTTGGAGCTTCTGTCACGGCGTACACAGGTAAACCAATGATAGTTTTAGGGTTCAATTAGTCAACGTTGCCGGCGCTTTTAGTGACTAACTGCAGACCGCCTTGCATTCTAGGGTCCAAGGTCTATAGGAAATAGATCGTAGATTCAAAATTGAAGACTCCTTGTAACAACTCAATCACCAAGAAAGGCTTCGCAGCGATTTTTTCCATGTTTTTGTAATTCATCGTTTTCAATAATTCCCATGAGATTCAAAAGATTCGGTGATGCTGGATGAATGAACAATAGATACTAATGCCAAAATGGCCGCTGTGACATATGGTGAAAACGAAGAATAGTTATGGAATATAGGTAGATAGAGA